TTTCAGTGTTAATTAAATTTTCAATGCTAATAATTTTGTGTTAATTCTAACCAAAACTGTTTTTCTAAACCTGAAAAATAATGAAAGAATCCTTCATATTCCATCAATACAAGGAGTCTATTTTTTATACAGAAGACAAAAGATTTCAAAACTAACTGGATTTATCTGACGTTCATAATATGGAGAGAAAAATCTCAAGGTTTGTTTTTTTCACCCCTTGAGAGTCTTGTTACTTTATTAATGTACGTACATTTTTTTATTAGAATTACTTTTATAATAAAAAAAACTGTATTAAAACAACACATTCACAGCCTGGTACAACAACAGGTTTGGTCTCTGTGGACAGGAAGTCCTTTAATTTTAGCATTTTATAATTCTTTATTTATTTAAAAGGGACAGTGAAGCTTAACATAGTCCAAATATAAAATATCAAATGATGTACTGCACATAGGTTTATAGCTATTGCTCACTTCCAGCCATTGCCCCGTGTTGGGCTTACATTCACAATACACAAAGTTACACCATTCACTTTTTTAAATCACCTGTTTGGATGTAATCGAGGTGTTATGTTGGAGTGGGGCTAATTTGATTGACAGGTGTGCATGCGATGCTTTCTAGAGAACTTTTAATGGGATTATCTCACTAGTGTTACAGAATCCAGAGCATTTGTGCTTTCTATTGTTAGCAAATAAGTGTATAAGTGTTGGTAGATTTAAATATAGTAAATGTGATAAATCTAGCTTTAAAAACCTGGGCATTCGCCTTGTAATCGGAAGGTTGCCGGTTCGAGCCCCGGCTCCGACAGTCTCGGTCGTTGTGTCCTTGGGCGAGACACTTCACCCGTTGCCTACTGGTGGTGGTCAGAGGGCCCGGTGGCGCCAGTGTCCGGCAGCCTCGCCTCTGTCAGTGCGCCCCAGGGTGGCTGTGGCTACACTGTAGCTTGCCATCACCAGTGTGTGAATGTGTGCGTGAATGGGTGGATGATTGTGTATAGTGTAAAGTGCTTTGGGGTCCTTAGGACCAAGTAAAGCGCTATACAAATACAGACCATTTACCATTCTTTCCTAGTCTAATTGACCACAAGGGCACATTCATAAAGCATCTGATGCTACAGACATTGGTGGATCGACTGAGTGAAATTTGGGGTTTAGTATTTAGTTGAGCAAAGGTATTTTGAATCTTATCATTTGTTTTTGAGATTTATATTTAGCCTTATTAGATTGCAAGAGTGGGATATAGTGAGAGAGTGGAGAGGGTTTGAAATAAATGGTCTGAGGCAGAATCATGAGAAAGCAGTCTGTGGTTAGGGCATAGCAATCAGTCAATAGTCACTCTCTTTTCCCTCCATTTTTGTCTCCACCAAGCCCTGACACCCGTTTATTGTTTGATAATGAGGTAATGAGAAAATTCAGTTCACAGTGTGTTTTAGGAGCATTTTTCTGAAAACAGATGTCATGCTCCAGTCAAAACAGTGACAGTAGACACACACACACACACACACACACACACACACACACACACACACACACACACACACACACACACACAGTAACCACAGTGCACACTCCTGTAACTACACAAAGGCTTTCCATTAATAATAACCTTTTTGCAAAGTAGCGAGGCCAGCTGCTGGGTTCTCCATCCTGCTTGATTACTCTCTGAACAAACCTGTCCAATCAGTCCTATTCATGGGTGCCAACACTCACATGCCAACTCTGACCTGACTGACCTCCGCAGAGGGCCAGCCCCTTCAGACTTGACCTTAGGTGTAGATGCTTATTGTCGGAGCTGCTGTCCCCAGCGCTCTTACAAAGGCTCGGATGCCAGAAATTAGGCACTTGAGGGAAACTCGAGAACTCCTGGCTAAAACTCCTGCTTGCAGAAAAAAGGCAATTGTAAAAATCAAGTGCTGTAATTGAGGGTAAATTTTTGGAGTCGAGAGGAGTGTTGGTAAATGCGTTTGTGTTTTTTATGCATCGTCTATGAAGTGAGGCAAAGAAGAGGGTTGGCAGACAGACAGATTCAGCCTTCAAATATTGCTAATTGCTAACAGTTAAGAATAACACTTAACATTTTCAACCAGGCTGATGTCTGTCTGTGTTTATTTTTCAGTTCAGACTGAAAACGCTTTACAAGGTGTATAGAATTTAAAATGCAAATGGCCGCAACAACAACTTCAACATGTTAACAAACAGTGAAATGACACGATCAGAGGAATGCCAAAATGCTTACCAGACACCAGCTTTATGTGCACCTCCAACTTAACTGTATATAAAAGATGGATGTAACCACTAGGGCATCACCCATTAACCCTTTTGGTCTAATGGGAGGCAGCTAGCAGGTAGCTACAGCTCCCTGCGCCTGCACATCCATCAGTCTAGGTGCCACACGTCATAACTTCAAGGTTTAATGGTATCCAAATGCAGTGGTTGTACACACAGCTGTTAGGCAGCTTTAAGTGGCCACTGAAGAAACAGAAATGAGTTTATGTGTGCTCAATGAGATGTTTGGACAACAATGAACAGCTCATTTCAGGTCAAGTTCAATCTACACGATGGGAAATAGAGCTATTTATGGCTGTTATTTCAAGTGCTGTTTTGTAATTAGCTTCTGCAGTACTGATATAAAATTTTATCACCAGGGGACAGTGAGGAGGTAGTTTTGAATGTTTAACTTCTGATATATATAGATTTATAAATATACAGACAGTGTTGGGAAGGTTACTTTTAAAATGTATTCCACTACAGATGACAGAATACATGCCCCAAAATTTATTTTGTAACGTATTCCGTTACGTTACTCAATGACAGTAACGTATTCTCAATACTTTGGATTACCTATTATATTATCATGCTTTTTTACAACTACATGAATGTACTATTGCTTTGTGATTTATTACTATTACTGAAGGTTACTCGCCATACCAATACCAACTAGTATAAAATGAGTAACAGTAGGTGGACATTAGGTAAGGCTGCACTTTTTGCAGCGATCTTGTATAGAAAACTGTTTCACGCATATATAAAACAGGTCCACGGCTCCGAACCGTAGTAAAGGGACCTCTGGCTAATACATCGGGTTCGTGTCGGGCTCGTAGCCGAAAACTAGCTTTACTTTGTTGTCTGGGTCAACTTTGCTAGCAAGAGACAGAGAGAGGCGTTGAAAGGCTGCTCCAACGGGACTTATTGTTTCGGAGGAAAACACGAAAAAAGTGTACAGTCGAGTCTTAATAGTTTACTTACAACTGGGCTGGTCAGGCACTCTTTTTGGCTGCAGTGGTTATTATTATGCATTTGCATGCTTCCATCTCCTGCTTCTGCTCGGTGACAGCTCGTACTTTTCCACTCTCCTTTTCTCTCCCTCGCTCACAGACACATAACGTTTAGCAGTCCATTCTCCCTGCAGCACGGACTATACTGCCCATGAGGCTACATTCTTTAGGACGATGCCTGTAGCATTCTGCCTATTGCCTTCATATTAAATCATTTTTGTGAATAATTTTTTAAAATATTTCTTCACGTCATTATGCGGGCCACAAGTAGGGGTGACATGGGCCGCGAGATTGAGACCCAGGCATTACTGCCTCTTAATGCGTGTTTTGTTTGGGGCGTGGAAACCAAAAATAGAGAGGGCATAGCGGAACATATGAAACAGGAAAATACTGGCACTGTACACAAGTTTAACTGGACATGTAATCCCTGAGATATCGCAAGATTAGTCTTTGGAGTCTTTGCCGGGCCAATTTTGGCCCCTGGGCCTTAAGTTTGACACCCCAGTTCTTTCTAGACAATACAGTAGTATAAAATTTCAAAGCTTTAATGACTCGACTGGTTAAATAAGGGTTAAACTAAACACTGCACCATCTTGTGGTATGAACCGGTAATACACAGAAGTACTGCCCAGCAGTTTTTTATGTTGAGCTGATATCTCTTCGATACAACACACAAATGTTTTGGAAACACATCGCATTGATGTATTTAGTTAATTCTGCAAGATTTGAAACTGTTTTGTCATGGTCTGGGTGAGTGGCTGGAAACTTCCACTAGGTTCCTGAACTTCCCTGGTCTCCGCCCATGGGCAGGGCCACCACACCCTCTACCACCTGGAGCTGACTGAGCTAATTAGGCTGGGAGATTTAAGCTCTGTGCTGACATCTCTTCTCCACCAGTTCATCGACTACCCTGCTGCTCCCAGACACTCCACGGCTTTAAACCGCACAGCCTTTTGGACTTTGGATTTTCCTCTCCGTTTCCTGGGATTCACTCCTTGCCTCACCTGCCTGCCCTCCTGCAGTCCCTCGGTCTTGGAACCAAAAGGAACTCAGCTCAGCCACATCCACATCATCAAACTCACCCGGACCTACGCCGCCTCTCCTTCAACACATCCATCTCTCACCTGCAAATGTGACTGTTCCTGCTCCAGTTTCCTTCTCAGTCCTGCCCCTTTGTTTTGCCCCAGCCACATTGCCACGCCACCCAAATCCTGTACCGTTTGTCACTACTACATATTATCCTTGTGTTGATCAATAAAACTCTGTTAAAACCTTTTCTCTGCCTCCGCTCTGGGTACTGCGCTTGGGTTCAGTTCCAGTTACCGGTCTCTGGCCTTTTGTGACATGTTTTTACAAACAATACTTTAAGTACTGTTAAGGGAGTAGGTCCCCTCCTCCCTTAAAGTTAAGGGAGGGGACCTAATTTTCCAAACGATTATTTCAAGTGCTTATGGTGAGAAAAACGGTCTTCTTCAAGGTTTTATTTACATTTGATGATATCATAAACACCGCCCCCATTTTGGTCAAAGACAGAGCGTGACACCGTAGAGATTGCCGATGTTTTGAAATAATACAGAGGTCGTGGTGGGGAAAGAAGCTGTTCCCTGAGGGTGTTTTTTCATTAAGATGCCATCGCCACAGAGATTTATAAGACTCACATGGAAAAATCTCTGCCAGGACATAACCTAAAGATACTTTAACCATTCTGAGATTTTTTTTATAAACTCACAATCTTCGAAGTTTGAGTGGCCTTTGCTGCTTTTGCTTTGTCGAGGCGTTTCGTCCTGCAGTTTGGAAAGCACGTTCAGCACCTTTGCTTTCCTCTCCTCCATCTTGCTTTCCTTATCCTCGAGACTCCCAGGCCTTCTCCCTCCAGCCGGGGACTGAGCTTGGTCCCTCCATCCTGGATAATTGGATTCCTCCTCATCTGGGCCCCCTTCGCCTGTGTGGGAACCTGGAGTGAAGGCATACAACATGAAATATACATTTAAAAAGAAAGACCTGGCTCTACCATGCTTACTCTCTACATTTTAACCCTTTAAACATCACAGTGCTGCAAAAGAAACACATTTGTATTCATGATTCTCGAGGAAGGAGCCACTTAGAAGAAAGCACTAAAACCCATTTCCAGGCTGTTAATAGCTAACACTAATTCTCATCAAATTGTTCTTTCGAATGCTGCAGTCACATCTCCTTCAGTCCTTTCAGTGCCGCACTAAAGAGCCAGACTTAAACAGCCACCTATTTTGTCACTGACCAGCCAATTACGAGTCCCATTATCTCCAAATACAAAGTCCACAGAATACACTTCTTGGTGTAGAAGCGTAGAGACAAAGAGCGCCATCAATGCAGACTTGAGCTTAAAGGAGCCTCAAATTGTCTTTTGCGACAGTTTCCATTAGAGTTTCAGACTCTTTTCTTCGTGCTACTTTTGCAAACACGAGTGTTTCTTGTGTTAGCACATGAGCGATAATTCAAAATGTGATACATCAGGAGACGGGTCCATTCATTAAGAGGAGAAAGCTCGACCGGTCGAGTAGATGATGGACATTGGATTCAATAAGCCTCACGAACGTGGTGGTGGCGAGCGTTCATTTATCCTGCCGGTGAGCGTGCAGAGGTCAGCAGCTCAGATTGATGGAGCCATGTCTCGTTTGACAGGCTGTCTTCCACCACAGTGCACACAATCACACGCCTCCACGTCCTTCTGAAGCCCCAATGTCATCAAAACAGATGAAAGACGGAGAAATGTATTCATCTTCAGAGCAAAAAATGTATCATTCTGTTTCATATGCAACAAAAAACTTCAACAGTGACACGATGACAAATGAGATGAGAAGCAACACGATTTCAAAAGGAAAACAAAAGCTTTGGTTAAAATTCATTTTATCAATCATCTTGATTCATTAATTAAGAAATGACAAATTTGACTCAAAACTTTATACAGCCCTCATAAGAACAAAAGAAACATCAAAACAGACATGATTAACCAGACTCATCTGTTTTCCTCTGCCTAAAATCAATAATTCATTTCTTATTTAGTGTTTATGGTCAACTCCAAACATCTTCCATCGCTCTCCTTTAAAGTCCAGGGCCCATATTCCCAGTTTCCCAGTCTTTCCTGTCTCTGGTCGCCATGCCACTGCAAATCACTTTCAGTGTGGATGGCGCCTTACTTAAGGGAGTCAAAGCATTAAATAAAACTTTATCTTTAATTTTACTAGCCATGAAATGGCTAATTACAAAGAAAATTACATTCCCCTTAGCACATAGACTCTGGGCATCAAAACAGCTCAGCTGCATAGGCAGGAAAACTATGTAACATATGCTGCCTGGGAGAAGGCCTGTGTTTGAGCCCCAAATCATTCCCAGAGAGACCTCCAGTCTGCATAAATATGGAGTTGCAGCTGTCCCGAAACAATATGGTGGCTGCTAAGTGTTTAATTCTGATGACTGTAGAAGAAGTCGCAGACTTCTATTGTTTTAAGTGTGCACAGCAAAGGAGTTAGTGAACAGTAGGTGGTGGACCAAACTACTGTGATGCATATGAACGGGGGTGTCCATTTGTCAAGACTTTAAAACTGATTGTTCTAAAATATAAAGACGACATTAAAATCACCTTCATCTTCATGTATCCCCTTCATGCCGTGGTTTATGAGGTGTTTATATATATATTTTCTTCTGACTGATTCCAAACCTGTACAATCTTTATATCAGGGTGAAAGGATTCAGTATTCCGTTTATTCGTTTTGAAGCCCTCCTATCCTAACCTGCAGTGGCCTAATCCATGAATGCACAGCCGTGATTACTGGTTAGTTCAGGCTGAAAACAACAGCCCATCTAAAACACACAGAGCAGGTTACCATACCAACCGCAGCATCTGAGCACAGCAGATAGCTGGATTTGGCTGCGAGTGGCCAAGTCAAATCCCCTCACTGATCTCGAAAAAAGGCCACACACCGCCCACAACACACACCGCCTGCCCTTTGCCATGCAGCGCACCAGCCAGAGGCAATAAGGTTGGACTTGTATCTCTTTCTTTGCATGTTTGAGAAAGGGATGAGCATCAACGAGACAATCAACGTGTCGAGGCCATTCACTGACGCCACCCGGAGCCTTCACTCCTCTATGTCTTGAATGAATGGCAGAATAGGAGCAGGGTGGAATAAAAAAGAAAATCCTTCTCAAATTATTATTCATGGGGAGGGGATTTTCCTTTCAGGCCTCCTTTATCGATGCCTTTCCCAACACGTCACCCTCTCTATCTGCCCTGACAAGTGCCAATCAATGGGCTTGAGTCCAGGTTTTTGGGAAACGCCGGAGGATTTCAGAGACAATAGCCAATGAGTCCACAGTGATGGTGGCTCAGAGACAATAGTGACATGGCTACACTGTTAGTGTGTGGTCCACAGGGGGTGAAACGATCCTTGCTTAGTACATGACTAATCTCTGGCTGCATCACCTCTGTCTTTCTGCAGCCTAATCGGTCCCGTAGTTTCCTCAACTTCCCTGAAACAATCCACTGGGGTCAGTTCAGATTAGTGCTCTTTGTGGCCCTGTACATCGCCACATTCATTTGGACACTTACATCTTTAGTTGCAGCTGAATGCTAAACTCTGAGGGTGAACACAGAGTGACCGAGCAGCAGAGAAACAGCCATGAAACAATTACGAGGGAAGGGATTATTCTACCTATGAATTCCAAATGAGCAAAGATGGACAAAGGTCTTATCACAGGCCTCACTGGGGAGCCAGGGCATCTTGTAGCAGCTGATTTCTGGGTCTGGCTTAATCTCTAAATCATTCAACCACTTTCAATCGATCCAAAGGGATGGGTGACTCATTGATGTGGGGATCTGGGGTGGAGCTTTCTAGAGATTACAAATTGGTTATTTTATTCAATTCTATTACAGGAAATTCATGATATCAGTACTCATGGAGCTTGGCCAGAACAAAGTAGAAGGTGCAGAAGATTTTTTTTATGTATTTAACTCTTTTTTTTTCTTTTTATCAATTTATTGGTAACAACATTGGTATTGAGGTTATTGCCTCAATGCCTCACTTTTGATAATCACCACCTAAATCTCTATATAAGAACAAAATAACTTAAAAAGAATGTAAATTGTATAATTATGTAAATAGCTTATTTCAGCTCATATTTTTTGATTTTTGATTTTATTATGTTATATTATATTATCCATTTATTTCTACTGTATTTCTCATATGCTGCTCTTATAATTGTTTCTGTTGTTTTAAATGATCATTGGATTCTTTTCTGTTGTGAACTGCAGTGGAATTATTTAATTGTACAGGGAACTATGTTTTTTTTACTGTGTATATGACAATAACACTTGAACTTGAAATGAATTATGTGCTTTAAATTGAATTTTATTAGCATTAACACTATTAGGAATGAAGTAGCTAAAATTAGTCAGCTAGCTGTAATGTTTGGGTAACGAGCAATTTGTGCATTAAGCCCCGTCACATGTTAATAGTAATATTATTATTATCTTTATTATTATAAAGTTCTGTTTGATTCAGTTTTATTCATATAGTGATGATGTTATTATTCTTAAACTATGGTTTGCAGTATTTTGGCTGGGCTCTCAGTCATGGTACAATAACGTACCATATATACAACAATCATAATAATAATAAACATGATTAATAAATAAAAATAATAGGGCAGGACATATGTCTTTTCACTGCTATAGTCAATGTTAGCCTACATATAGATGTGCTGCTTCGACACACCAGCAACAATTTAACGATTGCAGTTCCATGGGTCTAATGAATAACAATGGACGGCTTTATGGTTTGGTTGTATGGTTTTATGGATGATACAATCCATAAAACCTTTGTTATTAATAAAAGTGATGGACATACTATAATTGTAGGGTTTGGATCTATGACTTCTACAAATGTAGGGAACTTCATTCAGGATGGAAATCTGACATAATCTTCAAATCCATTCTGAGAAGTTGTTCATCACACTAAACCTACAAAAGGGATACCCATATTCTCATGGAGTCAAATTGGGGTCATTCCCTCCATTAGGGGCTTAAATGAAAGGTTGAACTGCTCGCACGTCCAGGGTAGCCAAATCTCACCTATCCACACAAAGACATGCCACACACTGGGCATCTTTTAGAGGCGCCGTAACCTCCAGAGCGACCTCTCCACGGCCTGCTAATGACCCCTTCCCTCTGAGGGTGACCGTGTCTTTGGCCTCTAAAAGGTCAAAGCACATAAGCCATCACCAGGATCCTCTACATAACATCTTTTTCATGTTTGCCCAAGTTTTACAGGGTAGTTAAACAAGCAAAGACTTATTCTAAAATCTGTCAGGAACCAAAAAAGGAGCATTTTACAGCTTAATGGAATTTAACTTATTGTGTAACTAGACAATGGATATACATTGTATACCTTCTACAAGCTAATAAATCAATCAGTCTTTGTAAAAATGCCTTTAAAGAGTCATAAAATGCTCTTTACTTGTGTGGTCACTTCTTACAGTCAGAAACAGAGGAGGTAAATAAACATGTTACACAGTAAAGTCAACCTTTAGGAAAGACCTGTAAAACACAGAGAAGAGGTTCTGGGTGTCCTCACAAACTCTTTTTTAGGAGACCCTCTCTAAGTTTCAATCACTTCCGTACCTCGTTGAAACTAAAATTTGTCTTCATAACAAGAGTTTTGAGTTTGTATGTTCATGTTTGCAGAAAAGGTCTTCATCCATAAAGAGACTGGATCTGAATGTACAAAGGTGTCCCAAAGGTTCTGACACCTGATCAGAAAATCTTGAGTGACTAAACTGAAGCAAACACGTATCTCTTCAAATACATAATTACACTTTGTTTTTACCCTCTCATCCTCTCTTCAGCTCTAAAATCAAAAGGTGGTGAGTCACAGCTTTTTAATCCCAGTAGGGGGTTGTCCTGCAGGAGGGGAGGTGACGCACTATTAATCAAGTGTGTCATCACATGAGTCAAGGTGTGCAAATAGGCATGGGGTCAACACCACAAGAGGTTTGTCCCACCCTATCATGTGACCTATTGAGGTATGACATTTTTGGGACACCCCCACACCCAGTCCATATCACACACGCTGATGAATTTATATAAGAATGTAATGTGCTTGAAAGTCTGATTGTGTACTGTATATTTATTAAACCCTGAAGCACTTTGCCAACGTGTGCTTTGAAAAGTGACATATGCCAAATCCTTCACATGGAGACTTTCTGTAACTAAACAAGTGTTTCATCGTTTTTCATGACTCATACCTCATATCAAGATTTAGAAATACTTTTTATTTTAATGCCTCTGTAATTCTGACATGATCGTAAAAGGAAAAGCAGTGCATTATATTAGAAAACTATTTATCCAATTAACATAACTGAACACTTAAAAAAAGAAAAAGAAAAAAAGAAAAAGTAATTATGTTAATTATGTCAATCAACCGACAGTGGCATCAGACATGTTGGATTTGGTAGACAACGCTGCGCCCTGCAGCTCAGCCTTCGGATGCATCAATCTCAGCTGTGATGGATGCATTTGTAACTTCCTCTAGCAATACAGCAGGCCATGGACCATTAGTGTTATAGCACAATGACGGATAATGGATAAGTAAGACACCAGCGAAAAAGAAAGAAAATGATCACAGTCTGACTGATGTGGTCAAATGAAGGTGGGAGGAAAAAGAGCGAGCTATTACTTCAAGGGTGGCTCTCCATTTCCACTGTGCTGACAACACTCCTGCCTGTTTTCTGGCCTTTTGCTGCCAGCTCTCTAGTGTTTGTGGTCCATACAGTAAAGCACTGCTCCTAAACCATCACTCATGAATGTGCACAAGCTGGCCCTACAGGTGAAGGTGATACTGCAGGCCAGCTGGCCCTAGCGAGGATTAACAGGCTTAAGTGTACCGGAGGCAAGGGAACGCCAAACACAGCGCTGACAGTGAGGAGACAATGGCCTCTAATAAAGCAGAGCCGACAGGGACTGAGTGGGCTTTTACTGGATCAAGCGCTAATGGTGAAGATGGGCTCTCGTATTGATTAAGTATTGTTGTAGTAGGCTCTTAGTTTTGAAACAGAGGTGGTATGTAATGACAGCGCAGACAGAGCCTGAAAAAAAATATGTGTTCTGAGTAAATCTAATGGATAACATACTGTGGCTGGAATGGGAGGGAGAATGGGAGGATCTGAACATGTCGAATGACGGACTTGGGTCTATGATCCATGACGATGGCGACCCTGAACCTCCTTCGGACTGATCCTGCATGGAAACAGAAAGGAAAAAAATCAGTTAGGCTGCTTTTCAGCAGAAACAGGAAGGAGCTATTTTAGGTTAAGGTTTCGGTGGAATTAGATTGACCTGCGTAATGTAATATGCGGTTCTTTGAGTACAAGTCTGCGATAGCCACCATATCTGGAAATTTCCACATGCACATGGATCTTTCTTCTTGTTCTATTTGTTGCCATGTCTAACAAATTGAGGTGTAAACAGCAACTTTATATGTAAATGATTAAATAATGTACCTAGCTATAGATGGGGTGGAAATTAACCCTGTTCAGATGCACATAATGTTCCCCTTTTTCAAATTCCCTAACTGACTCTGGGAGATCTCAGCTATATGGACATCCTGAGGCTTTGCTTGTTTCTCTATTAGTTCCATGGTGATTTTTCCAGCATGGTTGGGCTCAGGTAGTGTAGCAGTGCTTCTGTTTGATCCTTCCTTGTAGTAAGAAAGCACTTTTAGTGCTCAAATTGAGGAGAAAGTATTTACCATTTATTGTAGGAAGCTGCTGCCACAGGGGAGTGTCTTTGCAAAGACTGCTTTAACAGTTTTTTGTTGGGCATTGAAGATTGGTGTTATTCACTTTAACTGTCAGTGGTTTTAATATTGTGGCTGATCTATGTGTATCATTACAAAAACTGAGATTAAAATTCTGTTTCATTATTAAGTGTAGATTTTTGTTGGGGACGCAGATGGCTCGTTCCTGTGTAAGCTGCCACTCGCTGCCTAATTTTTGTGTTTCCATCTTTATAATTTTTTTTTTTTATCATACATTGATGCAGAAAAGGACCCCCTCCTGCCCCCACCACCAATATTGAAAACCAACACCTAGTACATGCACTTCCTTTTTTTCTTCAAAGACACAGCAGAGTAATCAGAATGAGCAAGTAGGGAAGTTGGTTCAAAACTTTTAATAACGTCGGGTTTGCCTCTGAAGAAGCACGTGAGGAAGAACTTGCAGCTTCTATCTTGAAAAACCTACTAATGGTTTATGAGTTTCTCATCATTGTAAATAATCCTGTGGGTGGATACTTGGTTTCAGTGAGGTGAATTATGCAAATGTTTGTATGAATCCTGCTCTGAGCACTCCGGCTAGACCCCCATCGTGGTCAGGCATAATTGTGGGGGGCTTATGGCTCTCATTCATGCTTTTCAGGGGCTCCCTCTCATCTGTCATAAAGAGGAGATTAATCGTAGATCACGTGGAGCACCTGCATCCATTCCACTGCAGCCCAGCGTGCAAAAGCCCTGTTTACCCTCCCGACCCCTCACCCCATCAAACCCTGTCTGATCCTGGTGGTGGTGCATCCTCCAAAAGAATCCTATCGTGTCGAGCTCTAACCCCCCCACCACCACCACCACAACGACACACCAATGAGGTGGTGTAAAAGCCTACCATACAGTCGGGCCTCCCCCTTCTCCTGCAGCGCGTGACTGATTAACCACACACCTGCTGCACGCCGCGTGCCCTCTGTTATATTGTGTCTCAATTATCATCAACAATTTGGCTTGTCTTACTGGCATGACAGTTATAAATGCATGCTGGTTCAAGTTTGTAAAAGGGTGTCTTTGTGTGCGATGTGTGCACTGCTTGGGGCTGTTGTGCGATAGTAGCTGATTCCTCAAGGTCTAGTGTTTGTTGACAACAAAGCACAGTCCTGCTTTTGAAGGAAATCTGATAGATGAATGAAGGAGGGGTGAGTGTGTGTGTGTGTTTGGGTATGTGTGTGAGAGAACCAAAACTGGTTTCACAAGGGGCAGCGGCACTCACCGATTTGTTTTCTTGGACTTTCCCTGCAGAGTTGAACCTTTCAGAGACGCTGCCAGCTGTGAGCGGCCTCGAAACACCTGACAAAACCAGCAAAGAACACAGCATCAGGCAGGAGGGAGAGGAAGCGATTGTGTGTTAGCAGTTGTGTTCATGCATCTGTGTACATAAGTGCTGGCCTCTGGCACACACTTCTATGCGTTTGTCTTTTTTGTACTTGAGTGTGTGTGCTCAGATATGAGTAATGTTGTGTAGTAGTTCCAATTATGGCTCCTAATCTCTGAGCAAATAATGGCATAAAATGGAGCAACAAAACCCCAGAGGAGCACCTGTCTGCAGAAGCGTGCCAGGTGTAAACATTGTTCTGCAGACACAGAGAGAGGAAAGACAGGCTTTCAGAAAACTCAGACAGATTTTGTCTTTTTGTAAACATCGGAGGCATGGATGCATGAATGCATGAATGCTAACAACACCGTGGTGATTATATTTCTTTTTATGCTGGGCATGAGCCAGATAAATATGGTTTTATTCAGCCCAGTTTGGAGATTTCCACTGATAAGACAATTTAAAGGAATTCCAGCGGAAATTCACCCAGAGAAATTTTGTTTCTGATTAAACAAATAAGCCACAAAAACCGTTACAGTTTAAAAAGTACGAGGTCAAAGGTATAATTACATGAAGACCAAACTGACTGACTAACTCTGATTGACCCCCAAATGAAGAGCAAAAACACTGCCATCATACAGATAATGATGATGCAAGTCTCCACAAGATCCATCTTTTCAAGCTTCCCACTCACTGTCTTTTATTTACTTTTTGCAAATCAGGGGGTCTGCAACTGGGCACCTCAGGATGCTTGAGAAAACCTGCAAAACTATCTGTTTATTACCAAACTGAAGACAACATTCATTTAATTTAGCAGGTTAGAAACTCAGAGTTCTTCCTTCCTACCATCGCAGGTCTTGCTCACAGGAGGTTGCCTGATTGTTGGGATTTTCACTCTGTTAAGTCTTTATCTAATGCCAGATTCAGGCGACTGTTGTTGTTATTTGCCATTGTACAGATAACTGAATTAAACTAAATGTCTTGAATGTTTTTAGAAGAATATTTTGGCAACAAAAGAAGAAGACAGATCATCATAAATTGTGACACTGTCAAGTGGTTCACCCAGTAAACGCTTGGAAGTCATGTGACATCCTATCCCTGAGCTCCTGACCTTGAGGTTGGGGTCGCTGAGATTCGAACTTGTCTGAGAGTGTATTTTGTCTGAGAGTGTATTTTTAGAAAATACACCTACGGTACGAATTTCAAATCCCTATGTCAGCTCGTTCTCAAGTTGTCGCATTCACAAACTTGGGTGCACTCCCCGCTTGCCAAGCACTTTGGATGATAATACCCTTTCAGCGTTTTACGGCTAAGGGATAAAAAGACAGCAGGTCGAGCTGAAGATGCTGAGATTTTCACTGGGAGGGACCAGAATGGACAGGATTAAAAGTGAATACATCAGAGGGTCAGCTCAGGTCTAGTTTAGAAGTTTAGAAACAAGGTTAAAGAGGCAAGGCTGAGATGGTTCGGACAGAGCAGGGATTTGGGATATTATGGATAAAGGATGTTCAAGATGGAGCTGCCAGGGAGGAAGAAAAGAGGAAGACCACAGAGAAGCTTGTAGTATAGTGAAGGAGAAGGTGCAGAGGGTTGGTGTGACAGAGGAGGATGTTAGGGAAGCAGACAATCTGTTTTTTGTACAGATAAAACATGATTCCCAGTCTCTTCTTCACAATAAAGTACACAGCTTATTAATTCATTAATACTATTAAGCCAAGGTCTGTTTAAACAGGTCTGTGTTTGAACAAAGAAAAAAACTGTCTGTCACGACCTAGTAGATAGACCTGTGGTATCAATTTGAAAATCCTACATCCCCTCATTCACCAAGTTGCGTGTCCATGCTGCCTGCCTGGTTGCTCAGCGGGCTGCCTTTGAAGCCTTTGAAGCTGAGGGGTAAAAAAGCCCAACTAGGGACAAAAGTTGGAAGCACATCAGTTTAATGCTTGCCATTATATTTATTCATTTCAGTTTTATTTATATGGTACCAAATCACAACAACACTTGCCTCGAGGTGCTTTATATTGTAAGAAAAAGATCCTCTAATCATAAAGAGAAAACCACAACAATCAGACAACCTGTTATGAGAAATCACTTGGTGTCAGTGGGAAGGAAAAACAGCAAGAGACGTTCTGGAGAATCAGACTCAGGCAGAGGCTGTGAGGGACAAAGACACGCTTCATTTATTATAAAAAGTGAACCATCTGAGGTCTAAGTCACCATCAGAGATTATCAGCTTAACACTAAAATATCAGAATATGTCACTTTTGTTAATCCACAACAGTGTTCGTGTCTAAAAGACATGAACAGAATTAACTCAAACATGAGGTTATGTGAAAAAATCTTCCAGTAGATACGTGACAGATGATGAAGCGACGAAGAGCGAGCTCTCTTGATCTTTAGTGTTTTTGAACAGATGCAGAAATCTCAGAGTCGAGTTAAAATGAGAGATGTTTCTTCATGAATGGGTTGAACTGACCTCTTAAACATCCACAGTGTTTATCTCCCTCTCTGGTGCCTTATCAGTCTATAATCAGCAGGGGTTTTCTGCACACACTCTTCTCAGTTTCTTATCCTGTGTTATGTGTCAGTCTTGTTTCGAAGTGTGTTTGGCTATCTTAGTCGGACTTTCCCAGTTAATGATCTACTCTAGCGGTTTGATCTTTATTAATATGGCACATCCTGATATCCCTATAAACCTTTTTCTGCCTCACCGCACCTTGAGGGAAAAGCAGTTAAGAGCTCGCAGCGGCATGCCTGGGAGCAGATGAGAGTTGATATTACAGCTTGTTAAAGAAAGAAAAAAAAAGGGGGGGATTTACACCATAAATGCATTGCTTACTCTCAAGGCCAGTCGTAGATGGAGAAAACACACCTTCAGGGTCATATTTTCCCCCCATGTAAGGTCTTATGTGTTTTCTCCAGACACACACACACAGGCACACCTGTCCAGCTGCTGCCTGTTATTACAGTGACGGTTTTTGCTTATCAAACAATCTCACTCAAACCGTCAGAGCAGGAGGTTTACGCTCAGTCAACTCAGATTTGTCTTTAAGTTACAACAAACATGCAAAACCATAATTAAAATCAGAAGGAATTCACTTTCTCACTCTCACACAAACGATCCAGACTGTTCAGAAACATCTTAACTGAAATAACGGGTGTTAGTCAGAGTTTGTTCTTTGGCTCTGAACTTCCTCTTTTGGTTCAGTGTCCCCTGATCATTAACAAGCTACAAGCTACAGGTGTATCTGCATGTTTGTGCAGGGTTGTGTTAAATCCATGGTTTATGTTGCAATCTCCCAAACTACCCACCAACCCCTCTTCCCTCCATTCATAACATTTAAGGTCTTTACATTTCCACACAGCTTGGTTTTTTAGCTTTTGCATGCTTAGTATTGCTGATGTTTTACCTGCTGAATCATACTGCATCGTCAGATCGGACCTCGGGGACACCTCCTCCTCCAGCTCAAAGGGACTCAAAAGAGTCTCAGGCGCCGGTCGGTCCAGGAGGAGCAGCTGAACCCGGGACAGGGAGCCCAGATTTCCAGAGTCGCAGCCCATTGTGAGTGCTGCGAGGCCGGGGGACAGCTCTGCTGGGGGAGGCACCAGATGTTACACCAGAAAAACAAGATCTGAATCTTTCAGAGACCTCTGATATTCTGCAGTGAAGATTAGACAAACAGACCAGTTAGTCCAGGCAGTTATTATTTCAAATATTCATCAGAAAAATAAACTTTAAAGCTCCAGACATGTTGGAGCCGTTTAAAATTAATACATCTACATGTAAAATGTTAATTTAGATAAGATCCTATAACAGTATAATAACACATGCTATTATAAATATGAATAATGGTGGATACACGTATTAAACATGGCCAAAGTTCCAATAATGGAGGTCATCTTATATAAAAGTAACACCTGTGGAACAAAATCGAAACAAATGTCAGTAGGAGTGAATTTCCTTATATGGTTGTCATAGAAGCGAGCAGCACGGTGGTTAGCACTGCTGCCTCACTTCAAGTTAACCTGATAACAAAACGAGAATATCAGAAAATATCCAGTTGGTCCGACAAAACCACACACCACACCCCAATCTGAGCCTGTTATCAACCTATTCAACAGCATTTATGAGTTCTTTTTAAGTCATATAAATGTTGCCATTAGGTACCCTTAAATAATAAAAGTACTCATTTATTTACTTAATTAACCTATACTAAACTTTCTGGTATTGTATTGGTGCTTGAATCTAACCAAACAGTAAGGGAAACAAAGAGGTCAAAACAAACTTTAACCCCTATTGCTACCATTGAAGAAAACACTCCTGCCCATTACTTCCATTCAGCAGGGTGGACTAATAACCACCCAATGAAGTAAAACTACATACTACACTCCCACACATAGGGGTGCAGTATATGTGTGCTGTCAATTAGTAACATATAAATATATGAACAAAGTTTTACTTTTTCATTTAAATAAAAAGCATTGCCATGTATATCAGCTGTGCAGGTCTGCTGAGTGGTCAGTAAGTAAAAAGAATAGATCAAAATACCAGCCAACGTCTAAGTGTACAAATGAATAAATTAGTAATAAAATGTCCCTAGGTCTGCAGATTTGGGTCTTCTTGTGCTCCTACTTACCCGTCTGAAAACTAAAAGGGACTTTGAATTTCATTCCTTAGTTATAAAACTTTGCAACTCTGTAATATCCTTAAAAAAAGCTTAAACTGTTCTGGGTTGTTTCATCGGTTCAAGTATGTTTGTTATATTTTACTAACACCTCTGTAAAGCACTGTGTCACTGCTTTCTTGTCTTGACACATGCTATATTTTACTTACTTAAATAGATACAAGTTTCAACAGCTGACAGTCGATTGGCTCAAGAAATCAGGATGAAAACATTGCAGTGAATATTAGAATTGCTGAGAAAATATTCACCTCAGTCGTGCTAATGAGAAATTTCTGAATGCAGATATTTTAATGCTTCTGGGATAGCTTTTTTTTAGTAAGATAAAGCACTCTATGAAATGATTTAGAACCAATATGTGAATATACACTGGAAGGTCTAGTATAATAAGGTGTTTTATATTCTGGGGATGAGGTACGCAGGAAGCCATCTTATGACATCATCTTAATGAGCTGGTAAAAGTAAATTAGGTAAAACATAATATGCATTCAGAGACTTTTGTTAGTATACAACATATCATAGTCTTGAAAGAGTAGAACACAGTCTAATATTTGTATTCCAACCATAAAGATGTTGGAAAAATTAATAATCTGCTGAAATTTTTTTTTGATTCGACTGAATTATTAAATTACTGTAAATTATACAGCACAGCACCTCAAGCAAACCACCCCAGATCTACCCCACCTTACACACACACACACAATTCCCCCCTCAGACTCCAAAGTTCTCGCCGTCACACCCAATTAAAAGCGGATCAGTGACAGTGTGGCTCACTGCCCATGCAAATCCCCAGTGTGGAGCTACCATTCCTATCTGAGGGGATTTCACACATTACGCTCTGCTGCATGGACACAAACACGAACACACACACACACACACACACACACACACACACACACACACACACACACACACACACACACACACACTAGCACTCCCAGCAGCGTCCCAGCAGTGCTAGAAAAGAGAATCAGAGAAAGTTTTGCGCTTGCATCCACACAGAGCACATTCCTCTGTTAAGTGTTTTCGGTTGGGAACTGGTAAAGTAATCCCTCAGGTGAGAAAACTGGAACTGTTGCTTCTGCTGCTGATAAATTAAGAAGTCGTTGAGAGGAAATCCCTGGGATAACTGTGGCTGTAACATAATGTGGCGGGAAGCACTTTCAGTTAGGTCGGGTATTAATCTATCGTTAGCCACAAGCAACACTCAGCAAACACAGTGGCAGATAACAAATGACTAATCCTGTGACTAAGGTGTTGGACACTGTGGTTGCCACCCACTCAGTGTCACAGTGACACGCTCCTGAATGAACTGCTGTACGGTTTCTTCAAAGCGCTGATCAGAAGTGATGTTGTGCAACATCAGTAAAGGTCATGAGTAATGACAGAGGTTTCTAAAAGAGGTTCATGTCCGATTTCAAGTCCTACAAAGTCATTAAAGAGGACAAATTAAACACATGCAGCAAAGTCTCTCATCTGAAGCTGCAATTTGCTCACCATTATTTTCTTTTGGGGTTTTCTCGGTCCACGCCTGAGTTCCTTTGGTCTGTTTTGAAATAAAAGGCTGTTTTTGAGTCTGCTTTATGCAGTTTAGCCTGATTAAATATCTGTATTTTTTTAAAATCCTGTATATCCTATACAAATTTAAATTGTGCTTCATGTCAGCCTGATAACAATCAGTCTGGAGCATTAGCTCGCATTTGCCAGAGCTTCTGGACTGAGCCCTGTGTTGATTTTATCAAACTGGTTGCCGTGGTTGCGGCTGCGCTGATCCTTTCACATCCTCGGGGCAAAGGTCGTGGAGGTCAGACAGAGGTTCGGGTCAAGCAAGCAGGTTAAACACCTTGTCAGGGATTAGCAGGCTATGAGGGACGTGGAGGAAATCTTCATTGGCTAATGTTTCTCTCCGCATCTCACTCAACCACCTCCAGGACACACACATGCTATCTAATACAGGCATGCACACGCACACAAATCACATTTACTCCGCCTTTGTTGGCCAGTGTGGGCCAATGCAAGGACCTGACAGAGTGAGTGGTCAGATAAGCTCATCTCTGCTGGTAACAAGGCAGATGTCAGAGAGAAAGGAGAGCATGTCTAATTGAGACATGAATGAGAGCCACACATAGATGGAAGCAACAGTAAACAAACTTAACTTCCTTTGAAATGGAATCACAGAGAGAGAAAGAGGAGCCAAACTAAAGCCTGACCAAATTTCCAAATGCTGATAACCTGTGAACCGCAAAAACGCAACGTGTGTATGTATTATTGTAGGGTCTACCTCACAATATAAAGCACCTTGAGATGACTGTTGTTGCGATTTGATCTATATAAATTAAATTGAAATTAAATTGAAAAAAGCAAAAACAAAAACACACACAATAATAACGGGATACTTTTGTTTTAAATTATGGTTTAATTACTAAATGAATCAGTAAGCTGAACGATCAAAAACACATCAGACAGACCCTCAAATTTGAGAATTAATTACCTTTCAATATTTGTACATTTGTTAGTTGTGTATTTATACCTGATGACCTGTTGCTTCTTAAAACTGTTCACTGTCCTCGCCGGGTGACCTGCAATGGTCGTGTATTGTGTGATGTCCCTCGTTTCCCCTTATATTTGTGTGTGTGTGGCTGTTTTTCCCACCGTGAGACCTGCCGCACCTAAAGCGTAATCGCATGCACCTGCTGCTGATCAGCCTCGTCTGGGGAGTTATTTAACAGAGTGGCTGAGCTGTGAGATTGTTTGAGTGTTTGAGTTTGCCGCCGATGTGGATGTTACTAACCGCTGCCTCTGTGATTTCCAGGAGTATTGCAGAAACAAGAGGAAAAACCGCATGCATTGTATACAGACGCAAAGGGAATGGAAACATGGACCATGGACACTGGGAGAAATGTTCAACGTAGAAAGTCCTACTTTCCCCATTCTCTGAAAAAAACATACTTTTTGAAGACATCATATTAACCACTTGATTGGTAATTGGTCCTTTATTGTCAGACCTCTATATTAACCTTATGATGTCTGCACAAAAAATTAATGGCAAGCCATCAAAAAGCTGTCGAGAAAGTTGACTAAAACCATGAAATTTCAATGTCATGGTAATAAGAGTGAGAATGTCAGTAGGTTATATCATCTGTGGATTACAAAAGTATCTACAAAATTTCAGGACAATCCAAGACCTAAGTAGGGGTGGGTTTAAAAAAATCGATTTTTCCAGTTCAAATCAATTTTAGTTTGAATATTCTGATATCGATTCATTAAATCCTGAATTGATTTTTAAATATAAATGTACTTTGCCAGAAATCTCAGGTTAAAGCTCACAAAACTATTTCAACAACCGCAAAACAGCTAAAACAGCAAACGATTAAAGAGCAGGTAAATGGAAAAAGATTCCCCCCCGTTCACCCGATGGCATGTATGGACGCCATCGAGTGCTGAAAGCCGACATCTCACAGATTCTGAAGCTGCAGGTTTCGTCACTCTCCAACCAAAATTTACTAGCAGCGGCAAAAGAAGACCAAAACTACGCTTCACGTTTGAAAAACATTGTAATGAGCTCCCTCTTACTTCTGCTGTTCTGCTTCCACCACGATTAAATCAGACTTCCTGCTCAGCTCTCTCTCAGTGTATTTCAAGAGTTTACCATCAAAAATCTCTCTTTTCTCCATTATTCGGTTACTTATTGCACACCAGTCTACCATTGTGCACAGTGCTGCTGTTATTTTTTTTAAATGACCTCCAATAAGAAAGCCAAATTTCTGCTGGTCAGCACCAAAGAAATTTAAACTTACAAATTATGTCAAACGACAAAACGCTTGGCTGTGTCTAATAAACCTCTGTAACTTTGGCTGCTTCACTTCAGCAGCATCAGGTAATGTTCATCTGCT